GGACTAAATCCTTCAGATAGAGACATAAGGAACACTTTGTTATTGTTAAGTTGTTTTTCAGTTGTATCTGACTCTACATGACCTCATTTGGGGTTTTCTTGGTGCAGATACTGGAGAGGTTTTTATTTCCTTTTCCAACTCATTTTACAGATGAGGAAACTGAGGTAAACAGGGTTAAGTGGTTTGCTACTAAGTGTCTCAGGTTGTATTTGAACTCATGAAGATGAATCTTTCTGTTTCTAAATCCAGTGCCCTATCCACTGGACCACCTAATTGCCCTAAGGAGCACTGATATGGTTTTATTAAAAAAAAAGTGTGTGTGTGTGTGTGTGTGTGTGTGTGTGTGTGTGTGTGTAGTCAACCATTATATCATCAGGTGCTTGGTCTTTGTGGATGACTTGATACTTTTTTTTTAAAAAACCCTCTAAAACAGAGCTTAGTGTTAAAACTGACTAAGCGTTTAATGCACTGTTGGGGAAGTTGTGAACTGATCCAACCTTTCTGAAGAGCAATTTGGAACTATGTCCAAAGATGCATACCCTTTGACCCAGCAATGTCACTACTAGGTCTGTATCCCAGTGAGATAAAAAGAAAAGGATCCATATGTCCAAAAATATCTATAGCAGCTCTTTTTGTGGTGGCAAAGAACTGGAAATTGAGGGAATGCCCATCAATTGGAGAGTGGCTGAACAAGTTGTGGCATATGATAGTGATGGAATACTATTGTGCTATAAGAAATGATGAGCAGAATGATTTCTGAAAAACTTGAAAGACTTATAGGAACTGATGCAAAGTGAAGTGAGCAGAACCAGGAGAACATTGTACGATGAAGAACTGTGAATGACTTAGCTATTCTCATCAATACAGTGATCCAGGACAATTCCAAAGGACCCATGATGACAGATGTTATCCAGAGAAAGAGGAGTCGGAATGCAGATCAAAGCATACAATTATTCTCTTTATTTTTTTGGGTTTTTTGTCTGTTTTCTTTTACAACATGACTAAAATGGAAGTATGTTTTACATGATTGTACACGGATTGGTTAGTGTCTTAGGGAAGGGAAAGGGAGGAATGAAGGGAGAGAATTTGGAACTCAAAATTTTAAAAAATGAGTGTTAAAATTATTTCTACATGTAACTGGGAAAAATAAAATATTATTCAAACGAAAAAAAGTGACTATAGGAATGTCAGTGATGATGTCTCCAATGAAGTTTGAAGTGGAGAAATGCCAGTTATCTCAAAGTGAGCCACATGTCGCTTAGATGTTCCACATGGTTGAGAATTTATGAACATTTATTGAAAAAATAGACTTTCTGCAGTGGAGGGAGGTATTATTGGTATAGATCAAATCAATGTAAAGTATACAGTAACTAAAGGAAAGATTTGATGTAGGAGGAATTGCCAGTTAGGTGACACAATGGATAGAGTGTTGGGCCTTGGAGTCAGACCTGAGTTCAAATTTGGCCTCAGATACTTACTAGCTCTATGACCTTGGGCAAGTCACGTAACCCTGCTTGCCTCCATTCTACGGGGATAATGATAGCATCTATTATCTAGGGTTGTTGTGAGGATCAAATGAGATCATATTTGTAAAATGGTCACAGTGTGTGGCACATAGTAAGTTCTATATAAATATTAGCTATTATTCTTTCACTAAGCCATAGTGATGGTAGTACTCATGTGTTCATTTATGTAAAATGGTCCTGTCCATACTTATAAGGGATTACTGTGGCAATTATGGAGCATTAATAGGCAAACATTTGTAAGCATCACTGGAACAGGGGAAAGAAAACTGGTTTTGTAATCAAAGGATTTGAGTTTAAATCATATCCCTGGTACTTACCACCTATGTGACCTTGGGCCAATCACATCACCTCCCTAGGCCTCAGTTTCCTCATCTGTAAAAGGGGAGGGTGGCACTAGGAGGCCCCTGAGGTTCCTTCAAGCTCTCTATCTATGAGCTTGCAGTTGAAAGGATCATTCTGCCATAAAGATAATGTAGGAGGGGAGCAAATAACTTTGGTCGTTGCTGTTGCTCCAAGATTATAAAATCGGGGGATTACCTCATTCGTTGTTGTTTAGTCATTTTCAATCAAGTCTGACTCTTTGTGTCCCCATTTGGGGTTTTCTTGGCAAAGATACTAGAGTGGTTTGCCGTTTCCTTCTCCAGCTCATGTTACAGATGAGGAAACTGAGGCGAACAGGGTTAAGTGACTTGCCCAGGGTCACACAGCTAGTAAGTGACTGAAGTAAGATGAGTCCTAAAGATGAGTCTTCCCAATTCCAGGCCCTATGCTCTATCCGCTGTACCACCTAGCTGCCCTGATTATTTCATACAGAGGATTTAATTCAAATGATCACAGTTTGCACTGAAGCTAGAGAAACAGCATGAGATAGAACAGAGCCTGGAAGAAAAGGCACAGACAGCTTCAAATTAAAATGTATCAGCTTTGTAATGTTTACATTCGAAGTCACACTTGCTGCTTAAAGAGAGTGAAGATTTCTTTGTGGTGCCCTGTGATGAGAAGCTTGCTATAAAAAGGTACACCATAAAGGAGGAAAAGAAAACTTGTTGGATGACAGATTCGGGCTATGCATAGCAGCTGGCAAAATAGTTGGAGGATATGCTCTTTTATCAGCCATGGAAGGCACCATCATAATGATCATGCTACAATTCTATAGTAACAATAGTAACATGAGATCACATTTATATAGTGCTTCCTATATATGACCTCATTTGAGACTCCCAGCAGCCCTGAGAGGTAGATACTATAGATATAAATATTATCATCCCCGTTTTATGGAGGTGGAAATGGAAGATCAGGGACGTGAGTCAGTCAACTAGCATTTATTAAACACTACCACGTGCCAGGCACTATGCTGAACACTGGGAATACATGTACAAATGGAAAGCAAGACAGTTTCTGCTCCCAGTAAGCTTACATTCTAAAGTGGGGTGGGAATAACATTTAAAAGGAAGCTGAAAGGAGGCGGTGGGGCAAAAGTACCTAGTGTGAGGACACGGTACAGAAAGTCCTGAGAAAACCCTGGAGAGGAGCGAGCCATGGCTAGTATGGGAATTCTCCTTAAATGGAGGTTCTGGGGGAGCCATCCAATCAGAGGGAGAGCCTGAAGGGAGGTAATGGGGTTGGTTGTTGGTAGGTTTTTGTCCATCATTTTCAAAGAGGACCAAAATAACATTACTCACTATGTTGGGGTCAAGGTACAATGTGTTCAAGAGGTTCAGGAGAGAGGATACTTCCAGTATGTGAATTCCAGGACTGGAGTTAGGCTTCAGGATGAAGAGCTATGGCATCGTAGAACGGGCCCAGAGTATAGCCTTGAGAGGAATGACAGGCCATAGATTAAGGGACTTGTTTATTGTCACACAGTATGTATCTGGCAGGATTTGAACTCGGCTGTTCCTGAGTACAAATCTATATACCATTCTTTATTAACCCTTGTCAATTAGGCAAGGGATCATAGGTTTATTAATTTGATAGGATCTTGGGGGTTAACTAGTTCAATTACTTAATTTTACAGATGAGGGTACTGAGGCTCAGAGAGAATCAGTGACTTGCCCAAAGTCACCAAGGTAGTTCATGTCAGTGATGGGATTCATACATAGGTTCCTTGACTCATAATACAATTTTTCTATTGTGCCATGCTGTCTTCCAATGTGGATGAACATTTAGGAAATGATTCTGTATATATTTGGATAGAGCCCTTAATAACAGATCAGCAGATCCCGACCAACAGACCAGACATTTTGTTTTTTAATATAATTAATAAGGCAATGATGTTGTTGTTATTTAGTTATTTCAGTCGTGTCTGACTCTCTGTGACCCCATTTGCAGTTTTCTTGGCAGAGATATTGGAGTGGTTTGCCATCTTCTTCTCCAGCTCATTTTAAGGATGAGGAATCTAAGGCAAATAGGGTTAAGTGACTTGTTCAGGGTCACATAGCTAGTAGGTGTCTGAGGCCAGATTTGAACTCAAGAAGGCGAGTCTTCCTGACTCCAGGCCTGGCATTCTATCCACTATTTTATATGCAGAGCACTGTACAGAGGAGAATAAATTACTGTGCCACCTAGCTGCCTATTAAAGGCAATAAGTAGAACTAACTGGGAGAGAAACATCACAAAAATCTATGAAAGTGTTGGTGGTGAGAATATAGCCTAGGCAGAGAAACCAAAGAAAATGTGGAAACTGCAAAGTCAGACTTAGTAGCAGGGTTTCCCATATAGTAAGTAAGTTGGCAGCTTTGAAGTGCCCTGTATTGGCATCCATCCAGAAGTACTTTTAGAGGTAGGATGCACACTAGATTTAAAGTCAGGGTAAACACAGGTTGGAATCCCACCTCTGACACCAACTAAGCAATGTGACCATGGACAAGTTGCCTACTTTCTCTGAACCTCATTTTCTTTGGTAGAATGGAGATAATCAAAGGGTTTTCGTGTAACTCAGATGAGATTACATAGGTAAAACACTGTCAGGGCAGCAATGTGGTACAGTGGAAAAAGCCTTGGGTTTGGAGCCAGAGGACCTGGGTTCAAATCCTGCTGGACTGTGATCTATGACTTCATTGATGTGAAATCATTAAAACACTATGAGCAAGAGCTTCCTAAAAATAATTTGCACTTGATTTTCTAACTGGAGTGTTTCCCCAGCATTCTCAAATCTTCTGGGTTGTAGGAGGATGGGAATTTCTAAATATGTGAATAGTACTGACTCAAACACCTGCCATATTTCTAAAATTGTCTTCAAAGAAGATGTGCTAGAAAGGAGTGCGTGGGATCAGACCACAATCCAAGAAGAGACGTCAAAAAGGGCTGGGGTTAGTTGGTGAGTTGCCAGATGAAGATGTCAGGAGCCCGAGTGGTAGAAGCTCAGGTCCCCTTTTCTGTCTTGGGCTGTCACTTGATGGGTCCAATGGGAGTCATTGGCCATCAGGGGTCAGAACATAATGAGAACTTAACACAAGATATGGCTTGTTTCAGGCAGAGAAAAAGAAGAATTTTGTCAGAAGAAGTCTTGTCATTGGAGAAGTCCTTTCCATAGCAGACATGGCAACAGGAGTAAAGGTAAGAGATAATGGATCTTTAATGGAATTCCACTAGTTTTTTTTTTTTAAACAGTTAGGAGTTAGAAAATGGAAGCCCCTCAGAGAAAAATGAGTTTGTTGGAATTGATTTTTAGTTAGTTTGTACACAACTGATGCCAGTCCCTCAAGATTCAGTTTGTTGTTTCACTCATTCATGTGATAGGCAGTGTGACATATTGTAGGAAATGCTGGATAAGAGGACATGCATTCAAATCCAATCCCTGACTTTCACTGGCTGAAGGATTCTGGGCAAGTCACTTAATGTATGTTTGCCTTAGGCAACTCCTTAAGACCTATTTTGGACTGATTACAAGTTGTGTTGGGACTATTGATGATGTCACAAATCTTTTGTATTTAATTATTTATTCATTAAAAAATAACAATAACAATAATAATAATAACTAACCTTTATATAGTACTTACTGTCTGCCAGTTATTGTGCTATGCACTTTACAATTATTACCCCATTTGATCCTCACAACAACCCTGGGAAATAGGTGCTGTTGTTACTCTCATTTTGCAGATAAGGAAACTGAATCAAACAGAGGTAAGTGATTTACCCAGGGTCACCCAGCTAATAAGTCCTGAGACCTGATTTAAATTTGGGTCTACCCAATTCTAGGCCCGGCACTCTATCTACTGGCCCACCCAGCTGCTCCTAATCTTTATTGAGCAGCTGGTATATGCAGAGCACTGTACAGAGGAGAGTAAAATATGGTACCTGCCCTCCTAAGCTTATCTGTCTAGTACAAATAACTTTCCTATATGACAGAATAAGAAAATGTTCAAACGAGGGGTCTGTAACAAGTGATCAAATCATACTTGTAGCTGCTTAGATACTTGGTCATATTCTAAGCCCATTCACACCATGATGGCTTTCTCTCTATTGTTTGCCCCGTGAAACCTTTTCTGATTCTATCCTTCCACCCCTAGGAGCTGTTAATGACCTTTCCCCTATCACGCTTCATAAAATATGTTGCACCTTGCTTATGTATTTATATGTTAGGTCATATTAAAATTATCTGTTTCTTACTCTGAAATGTACTGTAAACTCTGTGAGAGAACAGGGATTCTATCTTAGCTAAACTTTGTCTCTTCTCCAGTCATATGGTGTGCACAGTAGGTGATTCAATGCTTGTTGAATATAATTTAACTAAATCTAGACCAGTTGTTGTTTAGTCATTTTTCAATTGTTTCTGACTCTTTGTGATCCCATTTGGGGTTTTCTTGGCAAAGTTACTGGAGTGGTTTGCCATTTCCTTCTCTGGCTCATTTTACAGATGAGGAACTGAGGCAAACAGGGTTAAGTGACTTGCCCAGGGTCACACAGCTAGTAAGTGTCTGAAGCTGGATTTGAACTCAGGAAGATGAAATTTCTTCACTCCAGGTCCAGCACTGTGCTTCCTAGCTGCCCCGATCTAGACCATGGTTGGTCAATGATGCTTGTGCATCTATTTTCTGGTTAGGGAGTTCATCCTAAGACTACTCCTCAGGGCTACCTCATTTGGCATATTTTGTGAACTCAGAGACTTGAGAAAATAAGAAATAATTCCTCTTCTCCTAAAGGCTGGGGACCTTTGCCTTAGATCTTCAATATTGTCACGGCAACTTCTTTTACTTGCTCACTTCTTCCTTATTCCCACCTCCCACACCCTCTCTCTATGAGTTTAGGATGTGCAAGATTAGATTGAAATCTGGGGAAAATATATGCATGTGGGAGCCATTGAGAGCTTTTCTCTGAGGACCCTAGCAAGATGTTTGGGTAAGTCTGATTAAAAAGCCTGATTAAGGCTTGAGTGATCCTTCTACACTCATTAAGGGCGAGTGCAGAATCAATTCAAAGGCTAACTTTAAAGAAAACCTTTGTTTCTTCTATATGGTCATTGGTGAGGGAATATTTTTTCCCTCTCATCAGCTCCTCTGATGGGACAGCCTCAAAAGTCATAGAACCTTAAGACTATGAACTACTTAAGGGCAGGGACTGTTTTTGCCTTTCTTTGTACCCCCAGTGCTTAGTACAATGCCTGATATGTAGTAGGTATTTAATAAATACTTCTTGATTTGACTTGGAACAAATGTTCCAAGGTACAGCTAGCCCAGTATTTTCCTGCACAAAGAGTGCCCCAAAGGGGACAGTTGTCCTTCCTCAGATCTTGGAGAAGAGAGGAGTACAAGTTCTTTGGTGGGGCCTTGGGAGCTCACGGAGGTGAGCAGCCTGCTTGGTGATTGTCAGGGCTTGTCAGGTTTTCTCACAGCCCTAGAACAGCTGGGTTGCATTCACCCTCTGCTTGATTCCTTTGCATGAACTCACTTGTCAGCTGGAGGAGAGTGGTGTCAGACCTAGAATCCCTCAAAGTCAGCTCCATCCTGGCAGGTCAGAATACATTTTACTTTTTCCATCAAAACTTTTATTTATCTAAAAGGTTTTGGGTGTCCCTGAGAGCTTTGGATGAACATGGTTGTACTGGAGCAGTGAAATCCTGGCAGGAGCTAAAGTCTGGCCGGGGGCTGATTCACAGTGGAGTGGGGAGAGAAGGGAGAGGAAGATGCCAAGGAAAGGAGCTTAGTTTGCTGAGGAGTTTGAAGCCCCAGTCTAGTTTGGGAGAGATCCCAGGGAAGGCTTCAGATCTGCCAAAAAAATGGTTGCAATCTGGAAACACTTTACTGTTGAAAGAAGTGTGACGTGCCTCCCTCTCTTCTTCCTAATGACCTTTGAGTTTTCTCTCCCTCTCATTTAGGTGTTCTCCTTCAAGGTTAATGGACATCCTAGTGCCACTTGCCCTTCTCTCCACACCCCTACTCCCAGTCCCCAACTTCCAAGAAGTCAGTAGACTCTCTTTCCCTCAGGAATGAAAGATCCCCCAAACATCTCCGTTTCCTCTGTAAAATGAGCAGATTCTCTACGTTTCCTTATAGCTCTAAATCAGCCGAAATATCCTAGAATTCATTTAGGGAGCCTATTAGTCTCACCGCTCTATAAATGAGGTCCCAGGGAACTGGATCTGCATGATGTTACCAGGGATCCAGTAGTATCTAAAAACGGGAAACAAGTGCTGAGACATCTATGGCCTTGTCCAGTGGCCCATGGCTGTCCTGTGGTCTGCCCCATCCCTCTGCCTGTGTTGACCCTCAGCTAATAGCTGGGCTCCCAGAATGGGCTCTAGTGACTCCAATAAATACCCATTCTATTGTATTTGCTCAATTTGTTGTTATTGTTCAGCTGTGTCTGATTCTTCATGACCCCATGGACCATAACAAGCCTTCTCCAGCGGTTTAAGGCAAACAGGAGTGGGGTGTCACACAGCTAAGTTCTTCTGAGGCCAGATTTGAACTCAAGTCTTCCTGACTCCAGGCCCAGAACTCTATCCACTGGGCCACCTAGCTGTCTCTATTTGCTCAGTGTTGCTGTTGTTTAGTTGTTTCAGTCATCTCTCACTCTTCATGACCCCATTTGGGGTTTTCCTGGCAAAGATACTGGAGTGGTTTGCCATTTCCTTTTCCAGCTCATTTTTACAGATGAGGAAACTGAGGCAAACAAGGTTACATAACTTGCCCAGGGTCATACAGCTGATAAGTGTCTGAGGCTGGACTTGAACTCAGGTCTTCCTGACTCCAGGCCTAGCACTGTATCTACTGTACCACCTGGCTGTCCCATTCACTCAATTGTAAGCCTTTAATAAAAAATAAAGCTCTCGTTGACTGGCTTACTGGGCCTCAGTTTCTTTCTTTGTAAAATGGGGACAAAATTACTTGTATTAAAGACCTCACAGCATTGTTTTGAGGAATGTACTCTGTAAGACTTAAAGTACTCTGTGCCTAGTTATTTATATGCTCTCTCCTCCATTAGAATATGTGCTTCTTGAAGGCAGGAACTGGGTTTTTTTTTGGGGGGGTGTGGTTTGGGTTTTTTTGCCTCTTTTTTGCCTTTTTTTGTATCCCTAGTACAATGCCTGGCATATAGTAAGCAATAAATATTTGTTGACTGACTGACTGACTCTCATGGTCTGTGGAGGCTCCCTCAGACTTGTAGTTGTTGCCAAGGCCACCTTCCAGAGCAAGGGTCATCCAGCCGCAGCTTCAGTCCCTTCTGTAGACAAGTGAAGACAGAACAGTGAAAAGGAGGTTTCCAAAACAGTCACAACACATTTAAGTGGAGGTCATCTCTGCTTAAGCATTTACTTTTTCCATTTCTTCATCCCCCATCGCACCCAGATGCCATTTGCTGTCCTCATTCACTGATGCACATCAGATAAGGAGGATGATGCTGGATTTTCACCTACAAAGTTGATGCTACTGATGCACCATCAGTGGGGCCTTATGTCCAGTTTGTCTCCAGTAGCAGGAGTGCATTTATGCAGATCCATTCTTTTCCACTTCACATGGATATTTGTGAGATGCTCAGTCAGGGGTAGCTAGAGGTGCAGCTCATGCCCAAAGCCACCTGGCCTTCATCATACCTATGATTTTTTTAACACCAATGTTTCAACTGATCTTTTGACCCATGGAGAAAAGGCTTAACCAGCAGTTATATTGGTATTAGTTAAAAAATAGAGACACTTATTGGTGGAATAATAGGAACACAACACACAGGAGCAAACTAACAGTAAGATGGTGTTTGATAAATCCCAAGCCTCAACTACTATGATAAAGTCTCATCTCTTGTCAGAAAGTTCAGGGAAAACTAGGTATAGCATCACTAAGACATGGGGTTAGCCTCTGGACGTGATCAGGTAAGTTCTCTTTGACTCTGAAGATTTTTCTCTGTGCCAGTAAATATAGATAGCTTCTCTGTACATTCTAGAAAGAGAAAGGATTCTGAGATAGAATCTGAATCATGCCCTGACACCAACATTATCCTAAGTAGACTTAGCATTAACCTGATAGTTGTGTTCTTTCAGTAGACTTTGGGGGAAGGGCCCCTGCAGTCCTTAAGTTTTTTCCATCTTCCATTGTGTTGGTGGCCACACTGGAAAGTGAGTGTGGTGGGGAAGGAAGTAAAAATCAGAGGCACTGGGACAGAAGGCTTCCTGGCCACTTAATTGCTTTGCCCCAGAGGCATGAGAAGAGGTTCTCTAAGTCCTTTGGGACAGCAGTTCTCAAAGTGTGGTCTGTGGACTCAGGAAGGACCCTGAGACCCTTTCAAGGGGTCTCTGAGGTCAAAACTTTTCGTAATAATAAGTGTTGAATCCATCATTAACATTTATTAAGATCTTACTATGTGCCAGGCACTGTGCTAAATAGTGGGAATCCAAAAAAAGAAGGCAAAAGACAGTCCTTGCTCTCAAGGAGGGAAAACAACCATGTACAAACAAGTGAAATACAGGATGAGTTTGGAATAATCATCAAAGAGAAAGAAGGGGCATCAAGAAATGCTTCCTGTAAAAGTTGGGATTTTAGGTGCTAGTTGAAGGAAACCAGGGAAGCCAGAGGATGGAGATGAAGAGGGAGAGCATTCTAGGCATGGGAGAAAGCCCATGAAAATGCCCAAAGTTGGGAGATGGAAGAAGGCCCAGGACAGAGCTCTATGGGATACCCATAATTAAATTTACTAAGATGCTTAAATTTCTAATACAGTAAATATCAACAGATACAACCAGCAAAAGCTTATTGAGGGGGCTCTAATAATTTTTCGAGTATAAAGGGGTCCTGAGAGCAAAAACTTTGAGAACCACTGCTTTAGAAGCCAGTCATCTTTTCCTTGGGGCCTCAGAATTAGTCTTTTCTGAATACATTACATACTATAGCCTGGAGTCAGAAGAACTGAGCTTAAGTCCCAGCCCTAGCATACTTCCTAGCTGTTTGATGCTGAGCAAGTTGCTTAACTTTTCTGTACCCCAGCTTCCTCCTCTTGAAGTGGGCATCGACAGCCTCACAGGGTTGTTGTGAGTAAAGTACCATATTAATATCAATAATAATTCTTGTTACTTGAGGTTATATAGGGTAGAATTGGGGCAGCAGCTTTGAATGGAAGCTGCCCCGAAGTTCATCAGTGGCTACTTTGTTCCCTTAGTTAGACCCCAGCACCAGCATGGCCCAGAATTAAATTCTCATGCTTTCTAATTATCTTTGTTCCATTGTTACATGTTCACAGCACATTGGCCAACCATTCCATAATCATACCACTGGTAATAAGGCAGGGACCAAAAGAGAGAAGGTGTATGACTCAATACCTTCTTGTTGATAAAGCAGCTCAAGGCTGGTGCCCTACTGCCTGCGGGTCTTCCTATGTGAAGGGCAGAGTTGAGAATAATGAAAAAAATAAGTATGTAAAATGTGTGGTTCAAAGTTTAAAAATGCACATAATTTATTAGTCCTGTGTTTAAAAAATCTATCCAATTATCTTATGATATTCAGAGAAAAGGTCTCAGTGGCTTCTGTGTTTCATAGCTCTGCAAAAGATGGGCACAGGGCAAATACATGTGTATGTTTCCCTCCTCTTAGGTAATATCTACCCAACTTTAGAACCACTGGTTGATTGGTCATTTTGACCAAACCATCCCCATTGCCGGGAAAGGCTGGTTGGCATTCTGCTGATGAAAAAATGCTTGAATTGTTTTCACTCTTGAGTGGCCAGGCTGGTGTCTGCAGTCATAGCTTTTGTTTGTTCCTTTTAAGGCTCCCCAAATCTCAGTTTTTGTACTAGTATCAAGTGATATTCCTCTGACTCATTTAGCAGCATGTCCTTCTATTGGTTGGACTGGAGTTAGTGGTATTGTGCTGGCAGCAGTTAGTGAATGCAATCTACAAGTATGTAAGTTAGAAGCCTGTTTTATAGGCTTATAGCAGCTGGCACTGTAACGGACCTTTTGATGTCATCTAGTCTAACTCTTCATCTTATACGTGGAAAAAGTGAGATTCAGGGAAGTAAATATGGCCTGCCCAACATCCAAAGCCCTATCTAGGAGTCTCTGCATCCAAGGCAAATGTTATCAGTTTGGGCCTCATATGAATGTGGTACGATGGATAGAGTGCCAGGACTGGAGTCAGAAAGACTTCGTTTTGTGAGTTCAAACCTGGTCTCAGATACTTATTGGCTATGTGACTCTGGGCAAGTCACTTAACCCTATTTGCCTTAGTTTCTTTATCTGTAAAATGAGCTAGAAAAGGAAATGGCAAACTATTCCAGTATCTTCACCAAGAAAACCCCAAATGGAATCATGACTGAACAACATGACAACAACATGAATGGAGGGAAGGCAGAGCCCTTTGGATATCCATTGGAGGCCACTGTGAGGAAGGCTGCCATAGGAGAGGAACTTCTCCCATCTTTTATCTTCTTATTGAATTAATTATTCTTGTTAACTAAGTGTTCAGTTCTATTGTCTCAATATGGCTAGAGAATTGTAAGTGCTGTCAGTGCCCTCTAACTTGGACACCATCTAAATCTATTGCCCTGTGACAAAACCCCCCATTTCCCCCGCTTAGGTGTGGCTCTGTCAAGATCACTAAGCTAGTAACTGAGTAGAGATTTAAACCTAGGTGTTCTGATCACTTCTCTTTCCACTGTACTGTGTTGTCCCTTCTTTTCTTCTCTCCGAGGGGAAGAAAAAAAATTAAAGAAGAAAGAGTATTGACCTGAAAAGATAATATGTACATCCAGATTAAATGGTTCAGGAGTAGAACATTAAACCTGTTTTGGTTAAGCAAGAGTAGATACTGTAAATCAGTCTTTAAAAAAGGTAAACGAGAAGTTTATGATTTAAGAAAAACAAACAGTTGTCCATTTGGACTGAGTCCTTTCCAAGTTGGAGCTCATAACGCTATTTATGATAATCCAAAATAATTATATTGTAGATATAATCTAGTGATTAGAACACTAGATGTTTTCCAATAATGCATTAAGGTCATCCTAATAAAATTCTCATTGTATTTCAGAAGTTACTTGTTTAAAAAAAAAAAAGATAGTAAAGGCACAAGAGAGGCACAGCTAGGTGGTACAGTGGACAGAGTGCTGACCTGGAGTCAGGAAGACTTCCTGAGTTCAGATCTGGCCTCAGATGCTTGTTAGCTGTGTGACCCTTGGCAAATCACTTAATCCTGTTTGCCTCAGTTTCCTCACCTGCCAAGTGAACTGGAGAAAGAAATGGCAAAGCACTCCAGTATTTTGGCCAAGAAAACCCCAAATGGGGTCGAAAAGAGTTGGATATGACTGAAGCAATTAAACAACAGTAAAAAGACATGGTATATTTTTAACTGGAGGATCTGCCAGAAGAATGTAAACAGCTCTTTTGTTCTTAATATTACATTGATTTCAAAATCTATAAATAAATCAGTGATCTATAAAACATGATGACTTTCCTCAACAGGCACAGGCATCCTTCTCTAGGCTAGCATCTCCCCAGCCTTGCCTTCATGTGTTCATTCTCATTTTTGTGCCTTTGTTCATGCTGTGTCCTTAACTCTGTCTTCCCTCCTCTCTGCTTCTCTCTCTTCTATTTACCTGACAAGCCCAGAAGCTCTAGGAGGCCTTCTTCAGCTCCTCTGGCCCACATGGATTTTACTCTGTCCTGGCCTGCCCTGTTCCTTGTTAACTACACCATCCACTGATGCACTTGCTCATATATTACTGTGTATAGTTAGTTCCCCATTTGTTTTATATAAATCTTGTTTCTTCAATGATATTTTAAACCCTTTAAAGGTAGAGATAGATTGAGCAATTTTTGTGCCTGAGGTAAGTGGCATGAAACACATCTTCCTATCAACTTTTAAAGACAAACTCATTTAGGATGGTGATGAACCTCCATGGATAGAAACCCCCAAATACCATAAGGTACCTGGTAGGAAATATGTGGGTAGAGAGGAGCTGATTATCTATTAGTATATCTGTTGGTAAGAATAACTGCTTTATCTATCTATCTATCATCTATCTATCTATCTGTCTATCATATATCTATCTATTTATTCAATCAGTCATCCACCCACCCACCCATCCATTCATTTACTTATTCATCTATCATTTGTCTATTTATTCAATCAGTCATCCATCCATCCATCCTTCATTCATTTACTTACTTATTCAGCTATCTATGTATCTATCTATCTGCCAACTGATTAAGTAAGTTTGGTTACTTCTGTGCTCCTGAAGGAATACGAGTCCCACTGGCTTCCTCTAAATTTTGGTGCCTTGGGAAAAGCTCTAGTCACCCTACTCTATGTGTATCTCTGTTTGAAGTCAAAGATCTCATCTCATACTTCTTTTCTATCCTCCATAGGAGTCAGATACTGCTTTTTCCCAGTAGATACTTACTGAAGGAAGTTGAACTGATAATTTGTGGATGTTAAATATTGCTAATGGTATTTTCTTGCTTTTTTTTTTTTCAGTGTGGCATAATTTACTGGTTATTTGGTGGGGCTGTCAGGAATCTTGGGAGCCCAGGACATGTTGCTAAGTGGTTCCAGCCACTCCAGGTATGGTATGGCTCCTCAGCTGTTTCGTTGCATTGCATTAAAAATTGTTTTTAAAAATTTTTCATTGTATGGCATTATGAGAGACTAGCCCTGAGGTGTTTGCAGGAGGCCCTGCAGACATGTCTGTGTGGTAAGCCTCAAGAGTCCCTAGAAGGCAGACCTTTTCTTGGGTCTGTAGATAAGGGCGTTGGAGCACAGAAGGAATAAGAGACTTGTTCAGCCTTATACAGTATTTCAGGATCAGAACTCAGGGCCTCAGAGAGTCTTCTTTCTTTGCCTTAAGTAATGCTAACTCTCTAGTTTATGTTAGCTCTCCCTTGGTTAACTTAAAAAAAATAAAGAAAACTGGTATCTCCTGATTTAATCAACTTTACTGGATTTTTTAGATACTGAAAGCCTACAACAGTGAATACTAAGGTGGAGTAAAATTCTCAATGATAAGTGGTACAGTGGAAAGACCACTGGATCTAGAGCCAGAGAATCTGAATTCAATTCCCACCTCCCTATGTGACCTGGGGCAAGTCACTCCTGGGGCCTCAATTTCCTCATCTGTAAAAATAAAAACCATGAACTCAGGTGTTCCTTCTATATCTGAATCTAGGATTCTGTGATGTGAATATATTTTCTTTTTGATCAAACACAGGAGCAGAAATACACAGGGATGTTTGCAATGACCGAGCGGGGTCATGGTAGTAACGTGAGGGGCATACAGACAGAAGCGACTTTTGATCTCACTGCTCAGGTAATAACTCCGTGGCTTTGTTTAGTAATAATATAAAATCCCATCAGTCTGGTTAGGAACCAAAAAATGAGGCCTGATGGGTGTGTGTGTGTGTGTGTGTGTGTGTTCGTGTTCTGTAGCTTTAGATTAACTCCAGGTTCACCTGTCACACTAGCATATGCAGATTGGGATGTGTGATTGGTATGTGTAATGACTGCTGCCTTCCCTAAGGCATTTCACTGTCTTCTGCAGCAGGAGGGGGTTCCTATTCAGGAAGAAAAGAAACTGTAAGTGGTATAATGTATTTGGCCAGGTTCTCCTCCCTGGAGTTACTAAGCAATTAACTCAGCTGTCAAGAAGAAATCTCCCGGGTTTTATTCTGCAAAGGTAAACATTGAAGCAAAAATCACAGAGCTGGGAGGACCATTAGAGGTCATCATCCAGGATTGGTCAAAGGAAAAAAGGATGTTTAGTTTGGAGAAGAGGAAACGAAGGGGACACGATAGCCATCTTCAAGTTTTTGGAGGATTGTCCCATGGAAGAGGGATTATTGTTGTTCTGCTTGGCCTCAGAGGGCAAGTCTAGGAATAATGGATGGTACTTGATGAAAGACAAATTTAAGCTTGATCTAAGGACAAATCTGCACATTTATGCAGCTTTAATTGTTGGGAATGTGCTGCCTTGGGAGGGTAGAAACCTTCAAATGAAGGCCAAATGAACACTTATTGGGTATGTTGTAAAGGAGATTATCAGGGAGACATGGCTTGGATTGAATGGCTTTTGAGGCCTCTTCCCATTCTGAGCTTCTTTAATTATCTCATCTATCATTCTCTCCTCTCCTCCCCCATTTTATAGGCAAAGAAACTGAGGCCCAATGAAGGGAAATGACTCATTGGAGGTCACTCACCTAATTAGTGACAAAGTTCAGATTAGAGTCTGTTTCATCTTTAATAAAATGTGGACATTGGACTAGATGATCTGTGAGATGCCCTTCCAGGTGTAAATTCTATCATACAATGCCTTCCCGTTCCATTTCAGTTTTTCCCTTACACCATAATTCTCTTTGGGCAGGCCAAAGAAATCTCTGAGCTCTGGACATATGTTAGGTCAACATTTAGCCAAACGTCATAGTAAATATATCCTTCAGTTCCTATTTTTTTTAGCCAAATGACAAGGATTGTCTAACTTTTCCTGCTTTTTTTCCTACTATTGCTGTGTAAAGGAGGTAAATGGATTTATTTTGTATGCTGTTAGAAGCTATAAAATGATTTTAAGAGGAAAAAAAAGTAAGTTCAAACAACAAAGAATAATTATATTTTAAGGAGCTTTAAAAAAAATTATTTAGTGGGAATGCCTGTGTGTGTGTGTGTGTGTGTGTGTGTGTATGTATGTATATGTATGTACATACAAGTGTGCTGGATTTCAAATCTCTTAGTTTAGCTTTCTTTTGGAAATCTGAATTAGTATCAAAAGGCTTTTCTAATTTGGGAAGGCCAGGTTGAAGTGACTTAATTTTGAGTTACCCTTTTTTCCTGCTGGGCCTAGCTGGGTAGAGATTGAATCGGGGGTGAGTACTGGGTTGTAAGCACCTTGTGGCATTTGTGAGGAAATCTCTGGCCCCAGTTGGAAGTTCTCTCTCTCTAATGTAATAAGCATTTATGGAGCATCTACACTGTGCTACCACTACAGATACAAAGGCAAAATTTAGTTCCCACACTGACAAAATCACAAGGTCTAGATGGGTTGACATCAGTAATGACCTCTGATTAGAAAATTTTAATAGAATCTTGAACTTTAAGGGGCCTCAGATGCCATCTAGTTCATCACTCTCATTTTATCCTTGAGGAAACTGAGGGCCCCAGAGAATAAATGACTTGCCCAAAGTCAGCTAGATAGCAAGCATCATTGGGGTCAGGATTTGAACCCAGGTCCCCTGACTCCAGAGTGCATGCTTTTTTTTAATATATCATTATACTTCCTTTCCAAGCCCCTTATTTTACAGATGAGGAAACCTTTCATATATCTAAGTTAGATAGGGCCCAGAAGTAACCTCTTACACAATGACTCTGGGCTAGGGAGGTTCACTTGGCTTGGTCTTAGTTTGGAATTTTTTGTTGTGTAGTCATTTTTTTCAGTCATGTCTGACTCCATTTGGTGTTTTCTTGGCAAAGATCCTAGAGTGATTTGCCATTTCCTTCTTCAGCTCATTTTATAATTGAAGAAATTGAGGCGAACAAGGTTAAGTGACTTGCCCAGGGTCACACAGCTATTAAGTGTCTGGGCCAGATTTGAACTCAAGAAAAGAAATCTTCCTGACTCCAGGCCTGGTACTCTACCAAGTGTGTCACCTGGCATCCTTGTTTGGAATTAGGGGACTGCTGAATAAGGGGGCTTTACAATCTTTTGGTTCTGATTGGAGTCCATGTTAGACTTGTAAGACATCCTTCTTTTTTAAAAATACATTTTCATTTATTTCATTAAATATTTCCCAATTAAACATAAACTTTTTTTAACATTCATTTTTTAAAATTTTGAGTCCCAAATTCTCTCCCTCTCTTCTGCCCTTCCCCCACCCCTTGAGAAGACAAGCAATCTGATACCAATTATACATGAGAAGTCATACACAAAACATATTTCCATATTAGCCATGTTAAAAAAGAAAACACACAAAACCCAAGAAAGGTAAAGAAAGTAAAAAATGTATTCTTCGATCTGCACCTAAAGTTCATCAATTCTCTCTCTGGAGGCAGATAACATTTTTCAACATAAATCTTTCAGAATTGTCTTGGACTACTGTATTGCTCAGAATAGCTAAGTCATTTACAGCTGATCCTTGTACAGTACTGTTGTCACTGTGTACAGTGTTCTCCTGATTCTGTTCACTTCACTTCACATAGGTCCATATAAGTCTTCCTTGTTTTTTCTGGAACTACTCCCCTCATCATTATTATTCCGTCGCAATCGGATACCACAACTTATTTAGCCATTCCCCAATTGATGAAGTTGCCCTTCTTGTAAGTAGATTCACTGTAGGTTAGCTGATGTGTATACTATCTTTTTATGGGGAAGAGGGAAAGGAAAGAGGAGAAAAAGGACTAAGGATAGATTCATGACATAGAGAAATAAACACTGGACCTGGAGCTAGAAGAAATAGCTTTGCCACTTCCCAGCTAGAGGACACTGGGAAAATCATTTATCTTTCTTAGACTCAGTTTTCTCATGTGGAATATGGGAGAGTTGGACTAGCTGATCTCTGAGATTCCTTTCAGCTTTAATCATCCATGATTCTAGAGTCTGGGATGTGATATAAACCTTCCCTGGGTGGGTACATCATAAACAGTATAATTATTATGTTGATATTGGATGTTTTTCAGTTGGATATTTCATTGGAGTTCACCCCAAGACCCGTATGACCACAGTCATGAGCAAGGGGTATCAGAGACAGATCTTTTCTAAGTCAATATAGGGCCCCCAGGGATCTTTATGTATGGTTTAGTGGCCCCCATTCCTATTTGAATTTGACACCACACTTTCAATTGGTCTCCCTGCCTCAACTGTCTTCCCTCTCATTCTTCAGTTAGCTGCTAGAGTGATTTTTCTGAATAGATTTGATAATGTCATCCCTCTACTCAGTAAACTTCAGCGGCTCTTTATCACCTCTAAAATCACATATTAACTCTTCTATAAGGGATTTTAAGCTCTTCACAAACTGGACCCTTTCCACCTTTCCATCTTTCTTACACACTACTTCCCTCAACACATTCTATGGCCCAGATGTACTGGCCTAATTACTGGTTCTCAAACACTGCACCTCCATCACAATCTCTTTGCACTAGTTTTTTTTCTCCCACTCCCCAAAACTAGTCCGGAGTGCTTTCCTTCACCTCTGCTTCTAAGCCAAGTCTCAGCTCATAAGCATCCCATAGACTCCTCTCTCCATAGCACTGATAGAAGGGGGAAGGAAGGGAATAAGCATTTGAGTAGCACCTACCATAGCCTTTACAAATTGTTTGATCCTCATAATGACCCTGTGAGGTAGTTGGTTTTATTATCATCCCTATTTTACAGTTGAGAAAACTGAGGCAGAGAGGTGTTAAGTGACTTGCCCAAGGCCACACAGTTATTAAGTGTCTGAGGTTGGATTTGAGCTTAGGTCTTCTTGACTCTAGGCCCAGCACTGCACTACCTACCTGTGTACACGTAGCTTCTGAGTGTAGGGAGGCCATACTCTCTTATTTCCCTAATAATAGCCTTAGACGTGACTTCCTTTTTTTTTTTTTTAAGAAATGTGGTATAGACTTTTTTTTGAAAAAGATGCTTTTTGCTTCTTATAACATTGACTTTCCCAATATAACTCTCCCCTCCCCTGCCTGCCAAAAGAATTCTTCTATATCATAAAGAAAAACAGTAAAACAAAAAATAGTCAACATAGTAGGCACATCTGAAAGTATATGTGACATCCTGCACCAATAGTCTTTTGCTGTCTGCCGAGGGGAGGGAAGAGTTCAATGATCTGTTCTCTAGAACCAATATTGGGCATTGCCTATAACCTGAGTTTAGCTGCCTTTTTAGTGTTTTCATTTGCATTATTATAGTCATTGTATGTGATTGTCTTACTTTAAAAAAAAAGCACTTTAAAGCTTTTAAAAATTGGAAAAATTGGAATCCTCCCTGCGGCTGTTTCCCTCCTACTGAAATCTTTTCAGTACTTGGGTCCCATGATCCCCAAATAGCAGAACTGATCCTGCTACCTGGTCTGCATTAGCAGATGGTACTTTCTGATAGGGGAGTTTAGCACTCTGAATATTAATAGTGATGAGGTCCTGGTGAACTCCCCATTCACCCCCCTTGGGAGACAGACAGAGTACAAATCCATCATCAACACAAGCCCCTGAGAACTGACATTACAGGGAATGAATTTTTCCCTTCACTGATTTTTTGCGTTTTCCTCTTCATTTTCCTTTTAAAACATTGGAGCATATCATATCAAATAAGCCTTCTTTCCCTTGAGCCCTATTGAAATCTTTTACATGCTCTGGTTACTGGTTCCTTTAGGTTTGTTTTATTAATTTATTTATTTACTCACTTTGGAGGGGTTGGGGGTAGAGGGGGGCGGAAGTGATCTGGAGGGAAGAAAGTTTTATTTGAAAAGCTTTAGCTAAACCTTGAGGTTGGGCAGAGAAGGTAAATGAATCTATAAAGCCTTCGGCCAACCCTGTCTTTTTTTTAATTGACCATTTTGTTGGCCTGCTACAAACAATTAATAATAATAACAGGCACACATGGTATACATTATTTAGAGACAGCTATAATGCTTGCATTCTGGCCTATGCAGACTTTCCAAAGCCAGGGCTGGGCCAGAAGTCTCAAGCCCTGTTTCCCAGGGTATATCAGATGTTTATGAGGAGTTGACCTAGTGTTGGTCTGCACTATCAAGCCAGGACTTTTGGTGGTAGTGTTGTTGCTGTTTCCAGTTGTAAGGAATATTCCATGGAGGCTATTTTTTTAAATTGATTTTTATTTTAAAATTGTACCCAGCTTAAAGTCACACTTCCAGTTGAGAAATATTTGTTGACTTGATAAAACAATGTCCTCCTCTGGAGATTTCTTTGAAAAAGATTCAGTCTGTCCGTTTCTGTTTCTAAAAAAGTCTTGCATATGTTAAAAGTTTCCCTGTGCAAACATGTGTCAGTGAATGTTTTCTTAGGCCCCAGGACTGTGTTTCTTGGCCAGAGGGAAAGTGGAGTCTATATGCTTTTAGAATCTGAAATCTGAGATAATCTTGGTGTGATCAATAGCATGTTGGTTTAGTTCAGCCAGATCTTCAATATAGTCAATCCCAGTTAAATTGAGAGGGATTAGCTCCCTCGCTTAGAAGCCCATCAGTTTTCCCTTGCACCCCCTACCCCAGACCAAATCACCTGCCTTGTTTTAGTCCAGCAAGAACATGCTGTTTCTTTCCAGGCAGAAGGTCCGGTTAGCTCACATTTCAGTAGTCACCTCGGTGGCTGAATTGTGGCAGAATACAAAGAGAAGGGGATAAAGGAGGAGGATACTTAGGACTGAGGATTTGCTCTTATCCTGACTTCAGGGGAGCAAGAAAAGAAGGCAAAGAGATCTTGGAAAAGGGGGTCCAAAGTGAGTGCCGTATTTTATCTGGCCTTAACCTTAATTCTGACTGTGACTCCCCTATGCAACTAACTTCAGTGGCTCCCTAGCACCTCTCAGATAAGATAGAAATTCTTCTTTTAGCTTTTAAAGCCCTGTTCAACCTGGCCCCAGCCTACCGGTCCAGCTTGCCCTCTGGCCCGTTGAGATCCACCCAGCTTGGCTTCCTTTGCTCCTCACACACAGCACTCCACTTCCCATATTGTACCTTTGCACTGGTCAGCCCTCACGCCTGGAATTCACTCCCTCCTTTCCGCCCCCTCCTGGAAACCCCCTCTTCCTTGACCATACAGTAGCTCAAGTGCTACCTTCCTCGTGAAGCCTTTCCTGATCTTCCCATTCTCTCTTTCCCAAACTACCTTGTCTTTAGCTACTTTTTATTTATTCACTTTAAATTTATTGTTACATATTTTGATATGTTCTTCTCGCCTCCCCCATTAGAATATAAACTCTTTTGAGTAGAGATTGTTTCTGTCTTTACTTGTATCCCTAGTGTCTTACACCTTTACTTGGCATGTGTTGCTGTTCAGTTGTTTCAGTTGTGTCCTGACGTTTTCTTGACAAAGATACTGCAGTGGTTTGCCATTTCCTTCTCCAGCTCATTTTACAGATGAGGAAACTGAGGCAACCAGGGTTAAGTGACTTACCCAGGGTCACATAGCTAGTAAGTATCTGAGGTCGAATCTGAATTCAGGGCTTTCTGACTCCAGCCCTGGCATTTTATATGCTGCACCACTGGCACACAGCAGGCACTTAACACATATTTGTTGATTAATTGTGACCAAACAGGGTTCCTTGTCGATTGCTATGAGTTCAATTCATACCAATTCAACAAACCCTCAGTAAGCACCTAGTATGAGCAAGGCCCTTGGAATACGACATCAAAACAAAGATCAGACTGATGCCAAGGAGCTTCTATTCTATGGGTTTTGGGGAAGATGCAGTATTCGTACCCATGAATATATAAAATATAGTTTTCTCAGAATTGTACTTTACATATTTATCTATATGAATAAAAGAGGAGGGCAATTTTAGAGACAAATAAAACTAGTAGCACATTCATGATTCTTACCTTTAATTGACCGAGGTTCTTTTACAAGTGTTTCTACTTTTAAAAGCTTATATGTACTAAGCTTTTTTTCCCCCCTGAACCATTTATTGTTATTTTAATTGGTCATGAAAACTTGAGATGTAAGTTATGAAACATTCACCCAAAAACAAATAAAGTGTCTTTTTTCATAAAAATGGAAATTGTACGCTCCAAGGTTTCAGGAAGTGGCAAGAAGTGAGTAATATTGTCTACTAGCTTTATTCTTCATCTAGCCAAGAGGGAGTCTTGAATAGTTTGGGGAAGTGTTGGTCTTTGATTAGAAGGCTGGGTGGGACCCCAGGTCACAGAGGAGGCAGCCATGACCCTTCGTAGTGGGGTAGGGTTAGGCAGCAGACAGCGGGGAACAGAGTATGAGGAGGCAAGTATGAGTACAGACAGATGTGTCAATGACCTCTCAAGGGGGCTCAGCAGCTACTCAGTAAACAGCCCCTTGGGGCAGCTAGGTGGTGCAGTGGATAGAGGTCTGGCCTTGGAGTCAGGAGGACCTGAGTTCAAATGTGACCTCAGACACTTGACACTTACTAGTTGTGTGACCTTGGGCAAGTCACTTAACCCCAATTGCCTAGCCAAAAAAAAAAAAAGATAGCCTCTAGTCACTGGGGAGTTTCCCCTTCCCTGACCTTTCTGGTATGTTTAGGGATGTGGGGAGTATGTAGAAAGAAAAGATGATTTATACATTAAGACTTTTAGGGGCCATATTTTTTTTTAAACCTACAAACCTTGGTGTGAAATTGGGGATTGAGGAACTGAATTTGGTCGTTCCCAACACAATCTAATGGATGTCATCATTATAACTAGCCTCATCTGAGCTGCAAAGCATGAACTTAGTTGCCAGGCTATTTCTAACTTCAGTTCTTGTGAGAAAGTGATGGAAGAAGAAGTGGGAGCACCTTCATGCTTAGTATTGACTTCAAATATGTAAACTCATGAAAAATGTATTTGAAAAGCTTAACTAGGATGAATTTTCCTGATTGTTCTGCTTTATAAAGATAAAGAAAAATGCCTCCATTCTATTTCATGATACAAATCTGTCAGATGAGCAGAGAGTTGGAGCTCAAAGGAAACTTGGAGATCATCTAGTTGAAACTTTCATTTTATAGATGGGGAAACTAAGGCTCAATAAGAGTAAATGATTTTTCCCAAGGTCATATGTTGGAAATAGCAAAACAGGATTTGAACCCAGGCTCTCTGATTCTTAATAAATTCTTTTTTCACTATCCCAAGTTAGCAGCGGGGAAACTGAAATGATACCTGAGGTGATATATAAGGATAGTAATTGACTTTGCAAGTCATGAGGATGAGCAGTTAGTCCTACAATATAATAATAGATCTTAATTACTGAATCATGGACCCTTAAGGCAGGAAGGCACCTGATATATAGATCATCCAGTTTTTGCCCAGGCAGTAAATAAGCCTTTTAGTTAATATTCCTTCTTCTGGTTTATCAAGAGAGGCAGGCAGCATTGTCTATCATATAGGGTATTGAACTTAGATTTAATGAAACTTGGGTTCCAATCCCAGATCAGATGCTTACAAGCTGTGTGACCCTGAGCAGTTACTTAACCTATCTGTTACCTCATGTTCCCCATTTATAAAATGAGGAGGTTGGATTTGATGGCCCTTAAGGTCCCTTTAAGCTCTAAATCTGTGATCCTAGGACCTCTTCAATCCATCTTCCATACCACTACCTAAGTAATCTATGATCATGTTACCCCTTGACTCAAAAATTTCACTAGTATAAAATCCAACTCTGCCATTTGAGGCTTTCCAAAAATCTCATTCCTACCTTGTCTCATACTACATTTCCCCCTCTTGTGGTCCAGTGGTGTCAAACTTGACTTAGAAAGCTACATATTAACATTATTGATGTTTTATTGTGCTTTTATTTTTTTTTATAAATGTTTCCCATTTATTTTTCAATTTGGTTCTGGCATTGGGGGCTACAATGCTGCTGGTGGGCTAAGGATTTGCCTCTTCTGTTGTGATCTACCTGAAAGCTGAAATCGAACTACCTCTTCTTCCTGATTCTTGCTCTGAACTCCAGGTCTTTGTTCATACTGATCTCACTTGCTAAAATGGACTTCCCTCCTCTTCTCTCTGTTGAAATCCTTCCTTTACATCAAGGCCCAATTCAAAAGCCATCTCCTCCATGAAGCCTTCCATTCCCATCCCACTGGTGAAGGTAATCTCTCTGTCCTCAAATAACTCAGACTATTTTACCTTTTCCTCAGTTCGCACTTCTCTAACTGTACCTTCCTTCCTAATCATTTGTGTATTTGTCCTTTTGTCCCTTAGATGGTAAGCTCCCTGAAGCCAGGGATTGTTTCAGTTTGATCTTTGTATGCTCAGCATATACAGTAGGAGGTATTTCTTCCTTGTTCACTTGCTTGAGTTAAAATCATATAAAGGAAAAAAAAAGTAATCCTTTGTCTTATATTTCTGTGTAGGAGTTTATCATTGACACCCCTTGTGAAAATGCCAAAAAGATGTACATTGGGAATGCAATGGAAGGTCACTATGCTGCTGTCTTTGCACAACTCATCATAAATGGAAGATCTCAAGGTTTGTGTCACTACCCCAGCCTGAAAGCAGCTTACATTTATATAGGGTTTCCCAAAAGGATAGTTTTAAGCTTTAACAGCTTGAAAGCTATTAATGTGGTGTAATAGCTAGGACTTTGGGAGACCCTGTATAATGCTTCGTGACAATGCCTTTCATAGACATTGCTTCACTTGAGCTCCACGTTGAAATCTACCCTATAACATTAACATTCAGACAGTCAGTAAGCATTTATTAATCACCTCCTATGTTCCAGGCACTGGGCGCATAGTGCATATTTTATTCTCCCCACTTTACATATGAGCAATCAGGCTTGGAAAACGAAGAATATTCAGAGGAAGGGACTTGGTCAAGGTCACTCCAACAGGAGTAAGTGGCGTGGCTAGGGACTGAAAATATGTCCTTCCGATTCCAAATTCCATGTTTTTCCACCCTGCCATATACTTCCTTGCTGAAATTACCATGTAACAATGGTTAAGGTTTTTGTATGTGTCTAGCAAGTGTATTAATCAACCTTATAAATATGCTTCAAAATCTTCATCTGCTCTTCGTTCTAGGCAAGTTAAGTGGTGCAGTAGATGGAATGCTGAACCCCAGGTCAAGAAGACTTGAATTCAAATTTAGTCTCAGACCCTAATTAACCGTGTGGCCTTGGGGAAGTCATTTAACCTCTTCCTGGCTTGGTTTCCTCATTTGAAAAATGGAAAATGATAGCACCTACCTCACATGGTTGCTGTGAGATCAAATGAGATATTGTTAAAGCACAGTGCAAACTTTAAAGTGCTATACTTTCTGCCTTAAAATAGGTGGCAAGCAGTACAATTTATTCTTATTTTGGAGTCCCATTCAGTTGCTTTTGAGATTGCAGACCTGGGTTTCTTAATCTTTGACAGACTGGTAAAAGCCTTCTCAGAATAATGTTTTTAAAAGCATAAAATAAAATACCTAAGATTACAAATGAACACAATGGTGTTGAAATAGTTATAAAATATTTTAAAAACCAAGTTCATGGTCCCCATAAAATCTATCTATGGACTCATGGACCCTAGGTTCTCAACTATTATTTTGACCTCCCATCAGCTCAGAGTCATACAGATGAGTAAATTTAGGGACCCATTAATGATTCTGTGAATAACACTCAAATCTCCAGTAATGGATGTGGCTTCATTTTTTTCACTTTAGAAGCATACATTTCAGGAATTTCCCCATTTCTTTGACCTCTTTAGGTCCCCACTGCTTCATTGTTCCAGTGAGAGATGAAAATGGAAGCTTGTATCCTGGAGTGACAGTGATTGATATGTTACACAAAGAAGGTGAGTCTTCAAGCAGCCCCTCCCTGTGCCCACAGGGCTCCTGGAGACTTCCCTTCCCAGCCCTGAAAACAAAAATAAAACCTTTGGTCATCAGATAGAAATGATGAAATTAAAAACAACAACAATAACAACAACATTAGTTAAGAAGTCTTGCACAGACCTTGTACAGAGTAGCTTTTGATAAATGCTTGTTGATCAAGTTTCTCATTGACTTATTATTATCTCCAAGCAAATCAAGTCAACAGGCATCTATTAGACACTTTCTGTGTGCTAAGCAATGAGAATATAAATAGAAAAAGAAAGACAGTCTCTGCCCTCAAGGATCTTGCATTCTAATAGAGGAAGACCAACACATAAAAGGAAGCTGAAAGAGTGGGAATTCTTTCAAACTGTAGAAAGTTCCACATTTATTCATGTGGTTGATTGTTCTTTGTCATCTATGCTCATACGTCAGTTCTTAGTACTAGGAGTTAATGGATTTTTGCTCAATTTGTGCATGTGTGGTCTTCTCCTAAAGATTATAAACTCCTCTGGAGCTAAAAGTGTTTCTTACATCTCTCATGTTCCCTGCAGACCCAGCACAGTGTATGTATGTAATAGACACTCAGTGAGTAATTGCTTTTTTAAAAATAAATTTTTATTGCTCTCTATTGTTTTTATGTTACTTAATTTTTATTTCCCAACATATCTCTCTTCCCACCCTCTCCCAGAGAGCTATCCCTATAACAAAGCAAAAAAAAAAAACCCAAAACCCCAACAACCAAAAAAAAAAAACCCTAGTTCAGCAAAACTATATTGAAAAAATGTGACATTAAATTTAACATTCCATACCCACAGTCTCCTACCTCTGCAAAGGAGTGGCAGGGATGGGGGAGGTAACTTCTGTCTCTTCTTTCAGGTTAAGTGTTGTCATTTCACAGCATTTGTTTTCAATAAGTGAATATTTGTCAATTAAAATTCAGCAAGGTTCATGGGCACCATTGGTTGCTATTGACAGATCTTAGTCATAGTCAAGGGGAAAGAAAAAGAAAGTGAGAAGTATAAGATAATAATAATAATAATTTAATATTTTCCAAGCACTTTTCATAAATTATTTCATTTGAGCCTCAAAACAACCCCATGAGGCCAAGGCTACAGATACTATTACTACAGAGGGAGCTTGGTATAGCTGTTGTTCCATTTTCAGTTGTGTCTGACTGTTTGTGACTCCATTGGGGGTTTTCTTGGCAAAGATACTGAAGTGGTTTACCATTTCCTTCTCTAGCTCATTTTACAGATGGGGAAACTGAGGCAAACAGGGTTAAGTGACTTGCCCAGGGTCACACAGCTAGTCAGTATCTGAGGTTGGATTTTGAATTCGGGTCCCTCAGATTTTAGGCTGGGTGTTCTATCTGCTGTACCACCTAGTTGCCCGTAGTTGATAGAATGCTGGATGAGGAGCCAGAAAAACCTGGGTTTGATTCCTTCCTTTGACACTTCGTAGCTGTGTGGGCCTGGACAAAGTACTGGAGCTCTCTGTGCCTCAGTGTCTTCATCTGTGAAGTGAAAGAGTTGAATTAGATGACTCTAATCTCCTTCCCAGCTTTACATCTATGGTCTTATGGTCCCCGTTTTATAAATGAGGAAACCAAGATAGAGAAATTAATAAACCTGTGAGGGGTAATGCAGCAAGTGTCAGAAGCCGGGACTGAGCCCTGCCATCTTGATTCCCAAGTCCATCCCATCATCCACTATACCGCAAGAAATAGACGTGAGGCAGGGGTGGGGAACCTTTGGCTTCGAGGCCACATATGGCCCTCTAGGTCCTCAAAGGTGGCTCTTTGAATCCAAACTTCATAGAACAAATCCCCTTAATAAAAAGATTTGCTCTGTAAAATTTGGACTCAGTCAAAAGGCTGCACTCAAGGACCTAAAAGGCCACATGTGGCCTTGAGGCCACAGGTTCTCCCCCCTTGCAGAGAATGGTTGAGTTTCATCCATTGCCTTCTGTACTGCTAAGTATATCCCTGTGGAGTATGAATGAAGTTGGGTACAGAGGGCGGTCCTTACTGGATACCCTAGTCCGCTTCAGCTGACATACCCTTTATAGGTGTGGAAGATTTTTAGATACTGTCCCCTAAGTGCCTGATTTACTATCTTAGACTGTGATGGAGATGCCAGAGAACTCTGGCAACTGCTTTAAATGTATCAGATTTGTACAGGCAGAGACTTAGGCCCAAGCCTCGTAGAGGGCTGCCAGATGAGATTGTGAAAGCTCCAGGAAGCCTGGTCTCATTTCTTCTCAGGCACCAAAATGAGTATCTGTCCTAGTCAATAGGTTCTCTTGCTGAATAAAGAAAGATGCTTTTCCAGCTTAAACTTCAGACTTAAGCTTGCAAAAATAGACAGCTTGGCTCCAAGCTGAGCAAGGAACTGTGTTATAGACATAAGTAAAACCATAGTGGGGGGCTGGTGATGGCCTCTCATGAGTCACTCAGAGATGAACTTTGCAGATTTTGGCAGCCCCTCTGCTAAGTTAGGACACCTCACGTTGGGTATTGGGTAGCCAGGCTGTCCGCAGCTGCTGCAGCAGCCACTAAGGCTGCCTCCTTTCCCAGGCAGCTGCCTTTAAGTCAGCCAGGTGTGCTGGGGTGGGAGTGGGGACACATTTGTGATGAGGGAAGAGAAATTTGAGTTACACTATTGTTGAAGAGCCCAAATTGACTTTCCTGGGGCTTATATATGCATCCTTGTATTCTTTCATTCAACTAGAACTTAAATTGAATCTTTTTTTTTGTTGACTGTTGCTAACTGCTCAAGCAGATAAGGTCTTTCTCTCTCCACCCCCCACCCCCAATTCTCTCCTCCTTTCCCCTTCCCCTGAGCATGTTAGATCTGAGGCAAAACAACCTTTTTTTCTGGCCTGTCAGGGAGCTGCCCAGCTGTGCTAAAGGAAACAAACATAGCTCTGGTAAATATTCTTACTCAGTGAAAAAAAATGTCTGAAGTAACATGGACATCCTTGGTTAAGCGCACTGTATATTTGGAGTCAATGCTTGGCATGTGGGAAGTAGGAGAGGCAATTTTGCTGATTAGGACTTGGATTTTTCTTTATGCTCCTCCGGTTCATTTGGTTGTGTTTCTGTTTGCTCTGTAGGTTTACATGGTGTGGATAATGGGATTTTAATATTTGACAAAGTTCGAATTCCAAGGGAGAACCTACTGGATAAGTGAGTAACCCTTCTCCACTGTGTTAATTTCACTGTTCATATAAAATTGTTCCCCCAAAGTAGACTCAGATGCTGCTGGTCCCAAGGAGGTTTTTGACTTCTATGTCTGGTTCATTCTTGGGGATTATAAGATCACAGAACTAGGGCTGGAAGGGATTTCAGGGAGCATTAGTCACTGCCATTCCTCCAATCCACTCCACCCCCCAGTAAGTATTCAAAACAATACTACCATTGCCTCTAGAAAGGGCACATGGCTCCATTGTCCCATGGCTCCATTCACCATCCCTGGTGGCCACTCCCCTATATGTGCTGTTTCCCCATTAGAATATAATCTTCTTGAGGGCAGGGACTATATATATTTTTTTATTTGTCCAGTGTTTCAGTCACATTTAAGTTCTTAATAAATGATCATTCATTCAATCATTCTCCCAGACTGATATTTTTGTGATGGTAAATTAGGCCATCTTTTATCTCAATTCTAACCTAGCCTTTAGCCAATTCAAATGCAAGTCAAGACAGCACCCTCGTGATGTCATTGGTCCTCTTTGAGAACTAAGGACCACCATCATTCATCTAGTTCATCCCCTTCATTTTTCCAGATGAGAAACCTGAGGCTTGGGGACAGAGAAGGTGTGATTGGGTGTGTGTGTGTGGGGGGGGGATGTTAGGTGACTTGTCCAAGGTCACACAAGTAGTAACCATTACAGGGGAACAAGCATTTATTAAGTGCCTACTAAGTGCCAGGCACTGTTTTAAGCACTTCATAAATATTATCTCATTTGATCCTCACAACGGCTGTTAGAGGGAGGGAGGTACTATTATTATACCCATTTTACAATTGAGGAAATTGAGACGGACAGAGATTAAGTGACTTTTCCAGGGTCACATAGCTAGTAAATCTCTGAGGTCAGATTTGAACTCAGGACTTCCTGGTTCCAGGCCCAGTGCTGTACCACCGACTTGCCTCAGTTGGTAGTAAAGTCTGAACCCAGAGTTAGTGCTTTTTCCTCCTATTTCGGAATAGTTGGGTAGGGGTAGCAGTTTTTTACTTTTTGAGATTATTTTAAAAGTCAAGTTTATGAATAATGGCACAGTGATGGTTGGTATGCTGTTAGCTGATGTTGGAAATGCAACATCAGTATTGACCTAATGTAAATGGAAGTTGGACATTTGGGGTCATGTCTTATCTACGAAGGTGGTTCATACTTTCCTAGGAATGGAAAAGGAAGGAAGGCAGCAGTGGTTCTGCTACTACCTTATCTTTTAGTGAGATGAAATGCGGCCCAGACAATACCCAGAAGTCCTGCCTTCTAGAGATTCTGCTCATTAGCCTAAAGCCAGTGGAGTTAAGGAAATAGATTGACACTGGACAAGGTGAATTAGAAGAGAGGACATGTTCTTTCTCACATCTCAAAGATGAAGTGGAGAGTCAGTTAATTGGATTTGATGAGGAGAGTCAACCCCAAAGACTGAAAGCATCATGATCACCTATGAAATCAGTACGGGGCAGGTAGACCAGGGCCAAGAAGGAAGCTTCAGTGTACAGGGAGGCTGGCCAGTCGGCACTTAAGTGGTTGGATAACAGATCGGTCAAAGCCAGATCCTGAAGTAGACTCCAGGGAAATCCAGGGAAATTTTATTTCAATAGGACTCCTCCTGACATAGCAGCCCTGTCCACCACAGTCATTTCTGGGGGTAGTCAAAGGAAACCAGTTTCTATCTTTGTTGGACTACTCTAAATCAAGTCAGTAGTGAGAGCTAAATCAAATTAGTTCTTAGTGCTAACCTAAATCAAGTAAGCTGTGAATGCTTTTTTCTTCTTCATTCACTTACTTCTCCGTATACTAATGTATTCCCTCAGTAGAATGTAAACACTTTGAGGGGAGGGAATGTCTTCCATCTTTGTCTGTGTATCCACAGCTCCCAGCACAGTGCTTTGCACATTGTGGATATTAAAAGAAATGCAGGATTGAATTGAATTCATCAGGGAGTAAGCCGAGGATCCCTACATGCCATGTCACCTGACTCACACTCTCTCTCTCAGATGAGGGGATACACCTGAAAGAATATGCCATTCTTGGTTCCACTGGATGATAATTTTAACCATGTGATTGTTTTTATGATATGAAACATTTTCTTCTCTTCCCTCTCTTTCTCTGCGTAGGTTTGGTTCCGTGGCACCAGATGGACAATATTATTCACCCATTAAGAACAAGAGTGAAAGATTCAATGTAATGTTGGCAGCTTTGACACCATCCCGATTAGCTGTGACTTTCCAAGCCATGGGAGCAATGAAGGTAGCTTTACCCGAATTTCTCAAGTGCATATGCAAATGGTTCTCGTCTCTGCTTCATGAATGTTCCCCAGTTATTACTGTAGTGAGACCCCCCCACTTGGAGGCTGAGCAGCTCTTTCAGAATGTCCCGGCTGTTTAGGTCCGTTGGTTAGAGCTTGGTGCTAATGAGGCTAGGATTAGAGATTCGATCCCTATTCAGGCCAGATGGCTACATACACAGGAAAATGTTCTTCGGCCACAGATGCACCCTTAACGCCAGCCATCTGTTTCACAGATGTGTGTTTCATAGATTAGGAAGGGCACTGGGTAAAAGGGTGTGGATGACTCAATATAAAATCATCACCACTACTGGAAAAACAATGGCGAGCTCATGCTCTACTTGTGATGGGTCAGCAGAATCCTACGTGTCAATCAGCACACTTTTATTTCATTCTTTGGGGTGGTCCCCTTTGCCTGTGGTGGTGTGATGATATTTGCAGGCACATCTCTGAGTTGTATTTGTAGGGCTAAAACTCTAGAAGATGGTCAGTTTCCTCCAAGGTCCTAGGGTTGCACTCATGGAATCTTAAACTCTTAAAGCCAGAAGACACCAGAGAAGTCATTTAATCCAAACCCCATCTGAAACAGAGATTCCATCCTCAACGTTTGCATCATATCTGACAAATGGTCAATGACAGACAACTCGCTTCTCTCAAAGTAGCTTATTTTATTTTATTTTATTTTGCGGGGTTTGGGAGGGAGAATGGTTCTAATTGTTAAGAAGGTTTTTTTCTTTATGTTGAGCCTTTATGTTATGTTATATCTTCCTGTAATTTCTAGTTATTTCTTTTAGTATTTTTAGTGCTGTCTGGGACCAAATAGAATAAGTATGCTGGGCATGGCAGCACATGCTTGTAATTTCTGCTATTGGGGAGGTGGATCTCTTGAACTTGGGGTTTCTGAACTGCATTGCACTAAGCCCATTGGATGTCTGTGCTAAGTTTGACATTAATATGTTGAGCCCCTTGAGAATGTGGCTGATGAGGCCACCGGGCTGCTAAGGAGGGAAAAAATTGTCTCAGGTCAAAAACAAATCCCTCCTGGGACAGTCAGGATGGGATTGGCCCCATAAGTGTCTCCTGTACTTCTAGCTTGAGTGATCTAGGGAGACCCAATCATTTTTAAATAAAATATAATCACCCTTCCACCCACCAAACATTTCTTTAAGCACCTGAAGACATTGGTCATGTCTGTTAAGATTCTGGGTGTTGGGCACTTAGTAGGTGCTTAATAAATGCTTTTTGACTTGACTTCATCCATCCACTTCATTTTACAGATGAGCACACTGAGGACCAGCCAGTTGAAGTGACTTGGCTAAAGGTTCACAGTAGTAAATAACAGAGCCAGGGTTTGATCCTGCTTCTAAATCTAGGCTTTCACTGGACATTCTTCTGGTCCCAGTTCTTTGAATGTACATCAGCTTGTAAATCAGCAAAGAATCTATAATTTCGTAAGTGTGGAGAAGTCTCAGGGTAGGAATTTTCTCCACCAACTTAGATTACAACCTATGTGTGGTTTAGTAGATGTGTCCTGGGACACATCTTAGAGGTAAATGACTTGCTTAGGGTCACACAGGCAGTGTCAGAGATGGGATCTGAACTCAGATTTTCTGATCCCAAGCCTAGCACTCTCCCCTACGTAAAGCCACATCTAACTTGCCAATATGCTTCCTAAAAAGTAGCATCCAGAATGGGCCATGATGTTGCAGATAAAGCCATTATAGAACATTTCTGCTCTAATAGGACTGTCACACTATTGGCTCATGTTGAATCTGCAGTTCATTAAAATACCCTGACCCATTGTTTAGCTAGCTACATTGGCTCCAGCCTGTGCTTGTGCAATTAGGTTGAAGTCTCATGACCTCTGAACTGTTGAGATTCCACCATCTTGACAACAGATGTGCTAAGAGAATAGGGGAAGGGCTCCCTCCAAAGGTGTGGTCAAAGACAGGCATCACCTACCTTGTGACACAGTATCATTACTACCCAGACTTTTGGTATCAGTTGTGCATGAAGACCTCTTGCAGCTTATAAGATGGCCCATGTCATGAAACTCTCCCCAGGGACACACACAGCACAAACACTGGCTGAGTCTCTCCCCCTCCCCTCCAAGTAACCAGGTTCTCCAGAATTTCACTGCCGTGTCTCACATTGGTTTCACTTGACTCTCTTGCTGACACCCCTTCCTGACAACATGGCTCCTCCACGTGAAGGCCAGTTAGGAAATCCTGCCCAAGAAACAAACTTTATGTAGTCTGGCTACTACAGGAAACCTCAGCCAGAGAGTGAGGCTGGTGCATCACCAGGGTTATTGACAACAGCTGCTACCATCCCATCCCACAGATTAATCCATAAGCATTTATTAAGCACCTCTGTGCCAGGAACTATTTGAAGCACTGAAGATATGAAGGCCAAAAAACAAAAACGAAAGACCCCACAGCTTCTGCCATCAAACATTCTATTTTGGAAAAAAACAACATATACCCAAATAAGTCAATAGAACGTACTAAGGAAGGAGGAGGGAGAAATAGAGACAGGAAAGTAATTCAGGATGGGGACATCAGGAAAGGCCTCATGTAGGAGGTAGCTTTTGAGCTGAGCTTTGAAGAGAACTAGGGATTTTGCTAAGTAGAAGCAAGGAGCCAGTACATCCCAGGAATCAGGGACAGGTAAAGACCTATGGGCAGGGATTAGATTGTCATTAGTCACCTGCTGTGTGCCAGACACTGTGCTAAGCCCTGAGGATACAAAAAGGGGCAAAGGACAGTTCCTGCCCTCAGGGACCTCTCAGTCTAATGCCTTAGATGTCAAATAGGAGCAACAGCAAGTAGGTCTTTTGGGCTGGAACTGGGATTCTATGAATGAGAGTAATGATAGGGTGCTTGAGCATACTTATCAGCTCCCATGAGCTGATTGTTAAATTTGTAGTGTGAGTATTCACACCTCAGAATTTATCAGGCTGCTATAAATCAGGGCCTGTTTTATTCTTTTGTTGATTTTGTAAACTTAAGGAAGTGATGGAAAAAAACATTACCAACTCAGATTAAAATTAAAACTGTGATACATGGATATATGGATGTATATTTTTTGGAGACCTGGATGTTAAACGTTTATCAGCATACCATTGCTGATAAGTACTAAGCCTGGAAAGGTAAATTGGTGCTAGTTTGTGAAAGGCTTTAAATGCTAACTGGAGGAATTTGAATTTTATATTAGAAGCAATAGGGAGCCCCTAGGGGTTTTTGAGTAGGGAGTGGCATAGTCACTCATGTATTTTAGGAACATCTCTTAAGCAGGTATTGCCTTGTCTTCTTGATTGTGGTAACAAATTGAGTTGTTGAACCCAAGTATTGGATTTACTTTATATTTATCCCTGCTAAATTTCATCCTGTTTGGACCAGCTAATGCATAATTCCAGTCTATTCAGATCTTTTTGAATCCCAGCTCTGTCATTCAACATGTTAGTTATCCCTCCTACCTTCTGTCATCCGAAAATTTGACGTGCGTGCCACCTGCACCTTAATCTAAGGCACTGAAAAAATGTTAACCAGAATAGGTGCACGGAAAGGATCCCGAAGCATTCCATTAAAGACTTCTCTCAGGGGTAAAACTGAGTTACTGCATCAGCATTCTGATATTGGTTCTTTAGCCCTTGTTAACTGGCAACCTACCTACCTATTCTCATCTAGTCTACCTCTCTCTCTCTTGTTCACAAGACCATCATGGGGCTCTGCCAAAATCTTGGCATGCTAACTTTGTTTATAGCATTTCCATGATTCATTAGTTTGGTGATCTTGTGAGAAAAAAAAAGATATCATATTCTTACTGAATCTATGCTGACTTGGAGTGATCCCCATTTCCTAAATGGACACAAGCTATCAATCATCTCTTTGATAAAACATTTACACATTATACCAGCAATTGATATCAATCTTGCTTGGCTTGTAGTATCTACTATACTACTAATAGAATCTACTACTAATAGCATCTATTATACTATTAATAGAATCTACTATTTACCCATTTGAAAATCAGGGAATGTTTGCTTATCTCCAGTCCCGTAGTACCTTTCCCATTCTTTATGATTCCCCAGAGATTACTGACAATAATTTGGCAATCATAGGCATAGCACAATGTTCTGGTTAACCCATATCCGGAGTCCTATGCTCACATCTAGGTGCCAAATTTCAGGAATGACATTGCCAAGCTATAGTATGTCTGGCAAGGGTGATCAAGGTGGGGAGGAGAATAGAAATCTGCTGGTCTGCTTAGATAAGGGACCACTCTTCAAGATATGATCATCCTATCTAAATATCTGAAGGGCTGTCCATGTGGAAGAGGAATTATGAGACTTATCTGCTTGGCCTCAGAAGGCAGATCTAGGAGCACTAGAGGAAAGTTGCAGACAGAAAGATTTTTACTTCATATAAGGAAAGATTTCCTAACAGTTAGAATTGTCCAAAAGTGGAATCAGTGGTTTCCCCCAAAGGGTAAGTGAGCTCTTCCTCACTGGGATATCTTCAACTCTATGAGGCTTTGCCCTCTAGTAAATCCTTTGTAGAGAGGATTCTTGCTCAAATATAGGATAGCCTCTAATACCCTCCTAGTTCAGAGATTTGATGACATTTACTTTGTTCAGTATCTTGGTTGTCATTCATCCAGGTTATGTATCTTACCCTCACTGAGGGTGATGAGGAGCTCTCTTACTACCTCCTTATTCATCTTGCTTTCCAACTTAGGGTTTTTCAGGCAGCTTGGACTGAAAAACTCTTTCTTGCCTTTTAAATCCTATTTGACTAATTTGTTCCCAGTGTTCTCTCCATCTCAGTTTCTGCTCTGGGCAACAAAAGCCAGTGGAGAGGGAGGTGAAACTACCTCATGTGTACATAATCCCAGTGTCAACCCCTTATGATGCTCCTTTTCTGATTGGGGGAAGCAGTTTTCCTTTGACCACTAACCCTGC